ATTCTGCCAATATGGGATGTAAAGGTTTAGGGGGAATGGCAGGAATTCTGCCAATATGGGATGTAAAGGTTTAGGGGGAATGGCAGGAATTCTGCAATATGGGGTGTAAAGGTTTAGGGGGAATGGCAGGGATCTCTGCCAATAGGGGGTGTAAAGGTTGAGGGGGAATGGCAGGGATCTCTGCCAATATGGGATGTAAAGGTTTAGGGGGAATGGCAAGAATTCTGCCAATATGGGATGCAAATGTTCAGGGGGAATGGCAGGAATTCTACAATATGGGATGTAAAAAGTTCAGTTCACCCTGTCCAGGTACCTGGAGGGTTCCATGCCCTGCAGGGGCTGATTTCTTCAGGGAAGGAAATCCTCATGGGTGGATTCAAGGGATGCTTTTAAAATGGTTTTCCTGTCTGGAGTGGGCTCGGTGAGAGGGATCAGAGAGGGTCTGGGGGGATTCCCTCTAACCTGGCTTTACTTGGAAGGGAATATTCCCCTCTTCCTATTGATTCATCCTCAGCAGGCTGCAATTCCAGATTTCAGGCAAAGCACAGACTGGTCTCCAGGCTGGTTTTAGTCAGGATACTCTGTGAGTCCCAGAGGGAACCAATGCTGCTTCACTACTCCAGGAATGCCCTTAACCCCAAAGAAGGCCACATCTGACTGTCATTATGGGGTTTTTCCTCAGGGAACACCCTGTTCTGTAATTGCCAGGTGGTTGTTGAAAAGATTTTTGCAGTCACAGGCTGAATTTTTTTTCCCCTGTGCTGTTTGCAGGTGGAAATAATCTTTTTAGGGACATCAGTCCAGGGTATTTACCCACCTCGAGGACAAGCCTGAATCCTGAGGGCATATCCCTTGCCTGGCTTCTTCAGAAATTCCCTAGGAAGAGGAAAAGGAACAAAATTGTCCCTTACATGTAAGGAGGAAACCTGAATCTTCAGTTCCCCAGCCAGCTCTGCCCGGAGGAGAAGAGAAGAGCAAAGCTACTCCCTCCAAAATCCAGGAGAGCAAGAAGTGAGGGCTTGAGGGCTGTGCCAGCAGCACACAAAGGCTCTCCAAGCAGGGGAGGGAGCGAGGAGCCAGCTCCGAGGCTGCTGGCCGGGTTGCCATGGATTTTGTGCTAATCAGCCCCTTTCTTGCTGGGAAGCAGAGGGAAAAGGAGGATGTGGAGCATGCAGGAGCTGCCTCCCTACCTGAGCCATGTCCTGCCACCATCTGCCCAGTGGATGTGCCAGAGCGAAGGGCCAAAATTCGCTGGTACAGGATATTTTGGGAAATGATGTCCCTGTGCCTCATTCCTGGCTGGGGCTCAGACCTGGCCATGCTCTCCTGCCCAGATCATGCCACATTTGGGGTGTGGGTGCTGGTAAAGGGAAATTTAACAGAGAGGACAGCAGGGGCAGGATTTTGGGGTGTTTGTGTGAGCTGTGGGACATCTGCAGACCCCAGATGAGCCTCCAAAACCCTCCTGTAAGGGTGCACATCACTGTGGAAACCTGTGTGTGCTTTGCTGTGCCCTGTGTGGGGGCTGGTGCTGTGCCTGGGGCTCCCCACATTTCATTTGCAGAGGGGCAGAGCCAGGCTCTGGAGCTGAACGTGAACCAGGGGAGGTTTTTATTGAACATTAGGAACAATTTCTTCACTGAAATGGTGGTCAGGCACTGGAACAAGCTGCCAGGGAAGTGCTGATGTCCCCAGCCCTGGAAGGAATTAAAAGATGGATGTGGCACTTGGGTTAATGGTGGGCTTGGCAGTGCTGAAGGAATGGTTGGACTCAAGGATTTTAAAGCTCTTTTTCAACATAAATTATTTCCAATATTCCTCCACTTCAGAGTGGCTTTTCATGTCTGCAGTCTCTTAGACATGGATTTATATATTAAAAAATACCAACCAAACACAAACAACAAACAAACCCACAAATCCTTAAAATTCAGATAACATAAAAAACATAAAATAGACAACTACTCAGTAGCCTGAAAAATATAAAACACACACATTTCTCAGTAGCCTGTAACCCTCCCTCTCTCCCTGGAGCATTTTTTGGGACAGCTGTTGACATGCACAGAGATTTTTTGAGAAGGATTGGAACAGATTTCCCAGGGAAGGGGTGGAGTCCCCATCCCTGGATGTGTTCAAAAGCCGTGTGGATGTGACATTTGGGGACGTGGCTTAGTGGTGGGTTTGGTAGTGCTGGGGGAACTGTTGGACTCCATTATTTCAAAGGTCTTTTCCGCCCTAAATTATCCAAAGATTCTATGATTTTATGCCCATTCCCTGGGGTGGGGCTGCACACCAGCCCTGGGCACCTGCCCACGTGTCTGTGACTTTCAGCCACCTTGTCCCCACATCCACAGGGGATGCTCAGGGACAGGGAACAACCCTGCTGCTCCTGGGAGCTCGTGCCAGCACAGGCAGGCTGGAGGGAGGAGATCTGTGCTGGCTGTCCTTGGGGACAGCAGGTGAAGGGCATCTCTCTGGAACTGAAACAACACCTCAAGAGCCACTGTCAGAAGATGGATCTTCACGGCATATTTCATTCCCAAACCCCCTTTTCCTCCTTTGAACCAGCATTCCAAGCCTAGTCCTGGCACTCTTTTCTCCTCCTTTTCCTCCTCTCCCCTCCCAAGCATCCCCCCCAACACCATTTTTCCTCAGCTGTGGGGTTGAGTTAAGGGCACAGGCTTGAAAAGGATGCAGATGTTCTTCCTCCATCCTGCCTCCCACCTGCCTCCAGGACCCCCTGCTCCAGCCCCTCTGGAGGGATGTATCCACGCCACAGAAAGCTCTGCTTGAGTAAGGAGCTGCTTGCTGGCTCACATTCCAGTTTCTCTTTCCTCAGCATCCCAAACAATCAAATATTTGCCTTTCCCTGCAGCATCTCTTTGTACAGACAAGGACGAGGGGGAGTAGGGAATTGTCTCAGCTCGCCCAGCCCATCTGTCCCCTGTATCACTGTGGATCTCTTTAAAAGAAAGGACATCATTAAAGAGGAAATCAAGAATAGCTGTGCTGGTCTTGCTCTGCTGTTGAGTCATGTTCCCAGATATTTCTCTGCTTCATTTATTGCTCCTCCTGCACTGGCTGTATCCCAGGAAATCCCTCCTGGCTGCTGTGGGGTTTGGAGCACCACAGGCATGCAAACTCCAAGCCTGCAGCAGGCAGGAGCTGATTTTGGCTCTGCAAGGCTGATGAGGGTTGGAGAGCCCGCTGCCCAAAGCTCTTCTGGGCACCACATTCCTTTTTATTCCTGGATTTTCCATAATGGCTCTTGAGATACTCCTCCAATTCTGCTGCTGCAAAAATCCAGAACTGCTGAGGAGCCAGGCTGGGCTTAAAACCCA